GGTTTTAGGATATTTTAAATTACAAAGATAATGCATGCACAGTTTCTCCTTGAACAACACAGGTTTGAACTTTGCAGGTTAAATCCACTTACAGGTGGATTTTAAAGATGAAAGTTACACCAACTGTGCCTGCCTCTCCTGTCCCCCTTCCATCTCCTCCACCTGTTCTGCTACCTCTGAGACCACAAGACTAACCCTTCCCCTTCCTTCTCCCTTCTCTGCCTACTCAGTGTGAAGAAAGAAGGATGAAGACCTTTATGATGATCCACTTCCACTTAATGAATAGTAAATGTATTTTCTCTTAGGATTTTCTTAATAGCATCTTTTTTCTCTAGCTCACTTTACTGTAAGAATATGGTAATAGTAAACATAACATACAAAATACATGTTAACTATTTTATAGGTGAGATTTCCACTAAACAGTAGACTATTAATAGTTAAGTTTTGGGGGAGTCAAAATTTATGTGCAGATTTTCAGCTGGATGAGGGTTCAGTGCCCCTTAACCCTGTGTTGTTCAAAGGCCAGCTGATACTTTGTTCTTGTAACAAAATCTTTTAACTGCAGGGAAAGCTAGAGGCCCCTTTTGATTGCATGGCCGACTCTAGTTCTCCAGACTCTATTATTTTATTTACATACACGCATATAAATAATTATGGCTGAATAAAATGTTGAAATTAAAAAATATTTCTAATATCACACTATATTGTAAATTTTGTAAATTTTGTAAATTTTACATTTTGTAAATTTCTTGTCTTTCATGTTATCATGGAAAAATAATCACATGTGTACATATAGAACTACCCAAATTTTAAACAACTGTACAAAATTTTACAGAATGAATATATACAGGTTTGTTTCTGGTTTTGTTTTTTTGGAAAATATTTATATGGAGTCCAATTTTTCAACTTTTAGAATAATAGTGAAATTTTCGTTATTATTTATTCTCTTCTGTGTTTTCTCAGGATAGACACTAAATAATAGAATTTCTGAGCCATCACACATATACTTTCAAAAAATTTCAATAATAGTAAAAAATTGCAAATCCAGGGTCCCTGCCTCCTGAAGTGTGAATGATCACTAATTTTTCTCTTTGCCTCTGCCTCATCAGATTTTGCATTTCTATATTTCTTAACATTTTCTCAATTTGATGGATGGAAATAGTATATAATTGTTGCTTGAATTTGGTTTATGTGATTGTTAGACATAGTAAGACATTTTTCATGTTTATTGGGATATTGAGGCTTTTTTTCTTGTGGTATGATGTTACCCATCTTTTACCTCTTATTGTAATGAGTATTTGCTATTTTTATTGATGATTTGTGATACTTCTTTGTCTTCTGATTTAAATCTTTAGCAATGTATGTTTCAATATTTTCCCCAATCTTTGTGTCTTCTTATAACTTAAAGTGTATATTGGTATACATTCATTTAAACTTTTAGCAAAATTTATCAACTTGTCTACATTTTTTATGATTTTATATTTTATTTAAGAAGACTATTCCCACAATAAAATTATAATGCTACATTTTAATATGTCATATATATAAATTTTTAATTTGAAGTGGCATGGGTTAGAATAGTTTTAAGACTATTAGATTGTTTAAATGCATCCAGAAATTATGATACCTTTTTATGATAAATTCACCTTCATTTGAAATAAACATTTTTCATACTAATTTGGGATCAATGTCTGACAATTAAGTTTGCAAGCACATCTTAGAGAAAGTACTACATACCTCATTGCTGAATTTCACTACTGTCACCTTCCTGGTACTTCCCTTGGGAAGCTGTGCACTGACACCAGCACCTAGTTCACCCTTCAAAACAATTTTGAAACTCTTTTTCTGGAATGGCCATCAAAGATATTGTATTATCTTTGATGACCTGAAGATCTTTAAAATGTCTTCCTTTTAATATTTTCTTTATATTTGGATAAAGAAAAAAGACATTGGGGCAAGATCAGGTGCGTAGGGGGGCATTACAATACAGTTATTTGTTTACTGGTTAAAAACTCTCTCACAGGCAGTGCTGTATGGGCTGGTGCATTGATGTGATGCAAGGGCCATGAGTTGTTGGCTGAGATTTTTGGTTAAGATTTTCTTATTTCTTTATTTACTTTTTGTTGCAGTTTTTTTGGGCAAGGGCTAGGATTGAACCCACCACCTCTGGCATATGGGGCCAGTGCCCTACTCCTTGAGCTGCTCTGGTTAAGATTTTTTCTCCTTCTTGATGTTTACTCGATCTGTTATTTTTCTCACAGTAAGCCAATGATTTTGACTCATAATTGGACAAATTTTTCCAATTTTTTTTTATCAGTTTTGCTCATTATTGGCTGCCTTGACCACTCTTCATTAGTGAAGCTTTCTCTCCCCTAAGAAAAATGTTTAATCCATGTCTGCACTGCCGTTTTCTTCATGGCCTTATCCCCATAAACTTGGACTAACATATCACTGACTTCACTTTCTCTCTTGCCAAGTTTAACAAGAAATTTAATGTTTATTTCTTTCTCTAATTCAAGCTCTGACAGTCTCACAATGGCACACAAAACCACACAACAACAATGAATGCCACACACCAAGACATTGCCAAACATCAGCATTAATATAACTGTAAGACCCTGCCATGAAAACTTACTTACTGAGCTGTTTGTACAATGTGGCCAATGTAAGTGCACAGTGGCAAGTTTGCAAACTTAATTGTCAGATCTCATACGTATACATAGATCTTTTAGCTTTTTTAGATTTTCCATTTTTTCCCCATTCATCTCTTTATATATTCTACAAATGATAGCTTACTGTTACATTACAATGATAACTTTATAATCCTTGCTGGTATCTGGCATAACACACCCCCTCTTTAAAAAATTTCTTTATCAAGGCAGTGCCTGTAGCTCAAAGGAGTAGGGTGCTGGCCCCATATGCAGGAGGTGGTGGGTTCAAACCCAGCCCTGGACAAAAAAAAAAAAAAACCCAAACTAAACCAAACCAAACACCCCCCCCAAAAAACTAGGGAATTAAAAATGTCTTTATCAAAATTATCTTGGAAATTTTTGATCATATTTCTCTTTTACAAATTTTAAACTCAGAATGGTTTATTAGAAATTATTTTTAAATAGTCTAGTACAAATGTGCTTATAATAAAATGATTTTTTTCTTCTAGGTGGATGCCTAGTAATGGGATCACAGGATGAAATGGCAGCTCAATTTACAATTGCCAAAATGCAGAAATATCCTAAATGCCCACTAACCCAGGAATGGATTAACAATCTGTGGTATATGTATATCATGGAATATTATAGCCATTAACAAGATGGAGACTTTACATCTTTTGTATTAACCTGGATTGAGTTGGAACACATTCTTCTTAGTAAAGCATCACAAGAATGGAGAAGGAAGAATCCAATGTACTCAATGCTAATATGAAGGCAGTCAATGGTCTAATATAAGGTGGGGTATAGGGGAAGGTGGGAGTGGGCAGAAGGGAGGAGGATGGGGATTATTAATGGTGCATGGCATACCTCTAGGGAGCAGAACACAATTATAAGAGAGACTTTACCTAACAAATGCAATCAGTGTAATCTAATTCTTTGTATCCTCAATGAATCTCAAATGATAAAAAAGAAAAAAAAAGAAATTATTCTTAGCTTTTGTTTGGATTACATTAAATTTTCCACACAGTATAAGAAAATCAGGAGTGAGCCAGTTTTCTGACCAAGTCAGCTCTATTGATCCATCCCAATGAGGGAGACTGCACCATTGGTATTTCATAGAACAAAGTAAAAAGAGTCATTATGGTAACATTGAGAAGAGTTGAGTTCAGGTGAAATTTAAACTATGCCAACTTTTGATAGGCTTAAAGCAAAACAGGGCTGTATGTTAAGAGATCAACATCATGTCTAAAAACAAAGTCACAAGATCCTGCTTCCTTGGAAGCTACAAAGTTAAGATAGATGCAGGATATTGTATCTGAAAATCTCTTATCAGAAGCTCCATGTTTGTGCTGAAAATGAGGACTGCCTTGCTATGTCAAAGTGTCTTAGATCTTCCAGAGAAGAGTGAGATGTTTAATCCACTGACACTAATGCCAAACCAAAAAATTTTAGATAACCCATTATTTTAGAAAATAAGATTTCTCATTAAGTAATAAAGTAGCAGTCACTCAAAGAAAAGAGTTGTTAGGACTCTTTATGACTATAGCATATTTATGGGAAAAATATTGCTTTCTGTTGGTGCTACCACTGGGTTTATCTGTGTCTGTTATTTCAGCTTGAAGAGTGGCCATTCAGGTTTTCACTTTTATAGTAAGAGCTAATTTTATTTTTTACAGGAGGAAATGAATCTTTACATGTAAGTCTTTAATAAAATAAAAATGTATTTTTATGCCACTTATTTAGTCATTTTTCCTTTATTTTAGTAAGTTTTATAGTTTATATTTTTCTTTATATAAATATTGAACATTACTTATTAGGCTCATGTATGATTATTTTATCAATTCAAGTAGATAGATATTATTTCCTCTATTATAATTGACATGTGATTATTTTTTATTTTTCATATTGATTTTCCAACTGTCTTGTTGAACTCTATTTTCCCCCAAAATTTATCAGTTGATTCTTTTTTTTAAAATAGGCTTTCTAAAAACTCCATATTTTTCTTTAAAACCCTTGAGCCTTAGTACTCTTTAGGCTGTATTTGATCTGCTAGCAATTTATTTGGACTTTTTCTTTCTTTCTTTCTTTCTTTGCAGTTTTTGGCCAGGGCTGGGTTTGAAACTGCCACCTCTGGTATATGGGGCCGGCATTTTATTCCTTTGAGCCACAGACGCCACCCTGGACTTTTTCTTTTTTAAATCAATGTTCCTAAGTTCCACCTTAATTTCTTTTCCTATGCAATATGTTATAATTTAAAGAAAATTAAAAGTAAATCCATTATCAATTGTGTGTGTATATATATATATATTTTTTTTTTTTTTTTTTTGCTGCAGATACTAACAACAATCAATGGCTGATGAAAACTATACAAGGATCACAGAATTCATTTTTGTAGGCTTGAGATATCATCCCCAACTCCAGGTCTTTCTTTTCTTGCTATTTCTACTCTTTTACCTCATGACTATGACAGGAAATTTGGGCATGATTATTCTCATCTGGTTCGATTCCCGCCTTCACACACCTATGTACTTTTTTCTCAGTCACCTGTCTTTTGTGGATATCTGCTTTTCCTCAGTTGTGGGCCCAAAGATGCTCACTGACTTCTTTGCTGAAAAGAAAGCCATCTCTTTCCTGGGATGTGCCTTGCAGCAGTGGTTCTCTGGGTTCTTTGTAGCCATTGAATGCCTTCTCCTGGCCTCCATGGCCTATGACCGCTATGTGGCCATCTGCAACCCATTACTGTACTCAGTTGCCATGTCTCAGAGACTCTGCATACAGCTGGTGGTTGGACCCTATGTCGCTGGTTTCCTAAACACCATGACACACACAACAGCTGCCTTTCGACTTCCTTTCTGTCACTCGAATGTCATCAATCACTTCTTCTGTGACATGTCTCCCATTCTTTCTCTCATATGCGCTGACATACGGATCAATAAATTGTTAGTTTTCATCGTGGCTGGAGCTGTACTAGTCGTCAGTAGCCTGACCATTATAGTCTCCTATTTTTACATAGTTACTGCCATCCTGAGGATCCGCTCTGCTGATGGGAGGCGCAAAGCCTTTTCCACCTGTTCTTCCCACCTAACAGCCGTTTCCATCTTGTATGGGACTCTCTTCTTTATCTATGTGCGGCCAGGTGCAATTTTTTCTCTGGACCTCAATAAAGTGGTATCGGTGTTCTACACATCAGTGATCCCCATGTTGAATCCACTCATCTACAGCTTGAGAAATAAAGAAGTGAAAGCTGCCGTGGGTAGAATGATAACAAAGAAAAGGTTTTTCATTAAAATTTAAATTCCCATCAAGAACATAAAATAGATCAAAGGAAAAGCTCCCATACATCTTTAGATGACCTGATCATCATCCCAAGATGTTAAAGCATTTATAGTATTTGTAGAATGAAATCATTTTATCTTGCCATACGAATTCTATTTTACTACCTGCTTTTAAAAAATCTCTCTTGTCTCATGGGTCCATAATTGATAATAGAAAAATAAAACATGTTATTCTTCCACTCTGAGACAAATCCTGGGAATAATTTCCAGATGCCTCTCTACATATTTGACTGAATTTGTTTAAATGATTATTATTTGGTATTTTAGTTTTTCTTAGTTTTTAAGATAAATATGAATATGAATAGCTTACTATAGAAATCATAAATAAAATACAAGAATTTGAATGAGAAAACCAGAGAAATTAAAAAATTCAGAGCAATGGATATTGAAAAGTCAGTGGTTAATTAAAATACAGAAAATTTATTACTATTTTTGTTGGTATTTTTATTATTTACAAATTAAAAAAGAAATACAGTAGATAAAACTTACCCTTTTTTTGTAGCATCTTTTTATGTTTCTGAAAACATTTTGAAAAATTCAAGAGGAATTGTAATTATTTTCATGGAATGTTAAATAATGTTAGAAAAATTAGTATAATTCAGCATCTGCAGGCATGTTAGCCTTGCTTGTTGGGCATGATCTAAAAATATACAAATTATGTCTAGATTATAGATATATTTAAACCTGAGTAGGAAAACAGAGCAATATAACACGTCTAAGTAGTGATACAAGGAAGAACTTTGGTGTGGATTTATCTCAAGCCCTACCCGAATGAGCTTCATAATGAGCTTGCTGAATCAATGAATACTTTCTTAGGCAATGTTAGTAGAATAATACTGTCATGATCCTTCTATCCACTCCAGGGAAAGTTGAATATGCTTTGAATATTGCATTATTTACAGGAATTGATGATAGAGTGGTTTCAGTTCAGAGAGGGTGAAAAGTTCTGCAGGGAACTGGAAATCAGAACATCTGGAGATGATACTGGGACTAGGGAAAATTATGGCTTCAATGCTACATTTGTTCCAGGCAGAAGGAATGACTTGTGAGCTAGACAACAACTAGAGAGACATGAACAGTGCCAAAAGGATGATATTGAAAGAATTCATATTTTAGCTTGGAAAGTTCTTCAATTTAATTTATATTACGTATTTATCTTTGAAATGATTAGTTAAATGGAAGATGGGGTGAGCAATATCATATATGAATGTGTTTGCTGCTAATAGCAAAATAAGGTGACTGTTCTTTTATGTTTGTTTGTTTGTTGCAGGATGGAAAATTTCCAAGGTTTGGGCTATGCCTCACAGCAGAGGTTCTTTGATTCTTCTGTGTATGATCAGTGGCTTCTCTTGCCATCCAGGGTATCCACATATCTTCTGGAGCTGAGAGCTCTATGTACTTGCCATGTTATGCAGATGCCGTGTTATAGTCGGGGTAGGTTTTATGCTGTTGGGCTGATGAAAGCCATAATATTTCATGACATCTCTTAATTTCAAATTCTTTTCCAATATAATATCTGAGACATTTACCCAATATTCATCTCTCAATATATTAACATGTCTTCCAACATATTTTTACTTAAAACTATTTTATCATGGGATTTTTAATAGAACAGTGTAACGATCTCTTCTGTCTTCATCATCCAGGATTAACTCTTTAATCCTGGAGTGAATCTTAAGCTCTAATTAACTTCAGTGGCCTAACATCTGAATATTCTTCTATTTGACTTCTTTACTTCCATTGCGAGACTCTATTCTGCTTCTGGGAAGCACAGCCTCCTCCTCTTGTTTTTATCATAAATGATCTGTACCCTGGATGGAAGTCATTTATACGTATGCTGACCATAAACCGCAAGTTGGCCAGGCTTTCTCTCTAATGGACAGTCAGTGTCTGCGTTGCAATGCCCCCAGTTTTGATGATCCCATCAATCGGATTATCTATAAAGAAGAAGCTCTTTCATCAAGACCCAAATTCATATACAGTCTAGGAAAAGGGGGATAAAAACTTGCTTCTAATTGAAATAAATGAACTTGCAATATTTCTGTGATTCTAGGCCACTTAGTGATGTTTCTGAATAAATGGACAAGGGAGTAGTTGCCTAATCAGCTACTATTTTTGCTACCAGCCCTGTCCCCTCCTTTCCATGAGAAAGAAAAATAAACGTTTAAACTTCATGCTCAGAAAGTCAAATTCCATTTCTAAGAAATTGTCCTTCCTCATGACCTTGAACCACAAACATTTCCTCAGGGCTCTGTTATTGGATTTCTGCACCTAAGGAAGGTTCTTGAGCATTCTGCTGTTTGCTGCCTCTCCCCAAACAGTAGAATTTCTAACCTCTAAGTATAATGTTGTAGTGGCCACGAATAAACTTGGTATTTTTTCCTTTATAATTTTGGACTATGATAAATACGCAACAGTTAAAAAAGAGCCTTTGTCCCCCAAGTTGTCCAACCAGCACCTGGTCATAGTCCTAATCTGGTTATCAGGATCTTTTGCCTGAGGACCAGAGGGGTCACTGTGAGTCTCATGTCTCCACTGGGATGAGGGAGGTAACACTGGAATCCTTTGAGGCAATCAGTAGCTTTTCTGAATAGTTTTTCTGGCCACAGTGGCCTCACTCTTTCTCAACAGTGACTAATCTAAATCAGTCTAGCATTTTCTTGGCATCCCTGGTCAGCTATAACAATGAGAGCAATAATGTAGCTCAGAGGATTAGATTTTGTTCATCTCATTATGTTTGGCGATACTGTAAAGATGGGCTATCCCACATGTCCTGTCTCACTCAAAGGAAGAAAGTTTTATAACCAATTGAAGGAAGAGTTTTTTCCTTCCTTCTGGTCAGGAATGGGAATGGAGGACTTATTTTTAAAATCTGTGCATCTAAAGTATCTTTTTATGCAGAACCCAAATTTCAGAATGAATCAAGTCTGTCTATCTTAGATTTTCAGGTTGTGTGAATGCAGAATGATGGATTAGTAACTCCAACCTCCTTGAATCTCATGAGAAATTTTAATGCTAAATATAATAGGTTAAAAGTAAATCTCATGATATTGATAGACAACAGACTTGTCAGTAACAGATAGGAAAAGTAATAAAAACACATTTTTGGATACCTGAAATTATTGCACAATATTTGAAAAGTAGAACACAAAGAAGATAAGACCCATATACAATTTTACTACTCATAAGGAAAAATAGTGGCTAAACTGTTACATTTACAGTTACATTTATTTCTAGCATTTTATACTTATATATTTGTATAGTATATACAGAATTTCAGAAATGTATAAATGCAGAAAGTTTATTTTATAAGATGATAAGATCTTGAAAAGCACATATTCTTGTCATATGATTTTTTTATATAGATAATCTCTGCTAAAACCATTGTTTATGTTATTCCAGTATTTTTCTATATGTATTTATACATAATATTTTATAATAAAATTTCATATCATATATTATTGTAGTCTATTTTAGACTAAATCATAAATATTTCTGAATAAATCATTTGCTACTAAATATCTTTCTTAACAGGATTTTTAACTGCCAAAATAATTTATTAAGTCAACAAAGATGTGGTAACTCCTAAATAGAAGGCATTATTCCATGTCCTGTAGATTCAGCAGTGAGTGAGCCAGGAACAGCTTCTTCCTACTTTGGAGTGAGGGCAGAAGCTTTCACATGAAGACAAAGCAGCTGAGGATTAGTACTACTTCAACAAAAGAAGAGTGAGGAGTCAGAACTACTCAAAGGAAGAAAGGCCAAATATATCTCCTGATGGGGGCAGGATCTTTTAGTTTATATGCAGTGGGGCTGGGATTCTAACTCAGGTCTCCACACAGCAGTAAAACTTCTTTTATTGATATCTATTATACAAATTTCATAATGATAGTAAGAGCACCTAGGGAAAAATAATGGCTAAGAAGAAAAGAAGCCTACAAAATTATAGTATCTCTGCTGCAAAAACTTGTAAAGAGGAATTCTGTCTTTCATTCTCCTATTGTTTAATAGAAGCCACATTTATAATTGGGCACATTGCAATGAAGATTAAAGGCTATGTTTTCCAATCTCCTCTGTAGGTGGCGATTGCTACACAACAGAGTACTAATCAATGGCATGTAAATGAAAGATTTGTCAGGCGCTTCTGGAAAATCTCCTTAGAATTTCAGGTTAGTGTTCTTCCTCACCTGTCTCCTTCCTGTGACCTGAATGTAAATGTAACAGCTGGACCTTAAGCAGTCATCTTGTGCCATGAGGAAACATTTGGATTCGTAACAGTGTACGGCAGCCATACCAGCCCTGCATTGGTTGCCTCCTGACATGTTTTAGAGAGAAAGAAAATAAAGTCCTTAAAACTATTTGTTTAAGTTATTGTCATTTTCAGATTTTCTATCACACATAGGAAAACTTAGTTCAAACAGACACAAATCCCTGCTTTGAAGGAGGAGGTGGAGGCATGACATCTGCATGACACCCTTGGTTGACTATTTGTTTGACTTTTTAAGTCTTAATGCATTAAAATAAAATAGGGAGAATATAGTTGTGAGAGGTTTCTACTCATCTTCTCTGTCACTATTTGATACCCTTAAAGAGAAACAAATCCTGCCTTTGATTATTGTTTGTTTGCTTATGTGGCAGCTGTGCCCGGGGTAGTGGTGCTCTCTGACTGACTTCTTCTCCTGGATCAGGGGCTTATTGCTGTGGTTTGGGAGGTTTAGCCCCACTAGAGGTGGGAGGGACAAGTTATCTACACTGAAATAGCAGTTCTGTTGCCAAAAGAAGGGAAAGGGGCATCTGATTGGGCAGACAAACACATTATACATGGAACTTGGAGGAAAGAGGGATAAAGGTTTAAAGAGGATGTTGTGGAAAGAGAGGGATTAAAAAACATCTATCTTTTCACAGTTTTCTATCTCTTATCAAGAAGAAAAACAATCTGTTAAAAATAATTTTTTTTTA